CATACATTTGGGTATCCATAACGATATCCACCTTCCTCACAAGGAGGGGGGTCCACTTCGAATAAAATATAATTTATCCGATGTGGGTCCCCTTTTATGTGAGGGGATGTACACCGTTATGGATATCGCATTATGTATAAGTAGCATATTCTTTAACAGAATAGGAAGGTGACTAACTTCATTTGGTAAAGCTAGAAAGCAATCGAAAGAGGCACATCAAAAGGTCTGAAATAAATCTAGCCTGCCAAGGTTTATCAAATTTTTTTTTTTTTAAATATACTAAAATTAGACCAAACAAGGGCTAAATATGATTTAAAGTTCTAAAACATTCTTGCTACATGCATACTTCCCATCTTTTAATCCTTTTATCTTAACTATCATGTACATACTGTGACCAGAGATACTTGTATGATTGAGTTATTAGGTGAACTAAAAGTAACTTTAAAGCTAAGGGTAAGATTTGTGATGAATACATAGGGAGTAGAAAAATTAACCCCTAAATCTCTGGAATGATCTTCGTATACATGCAACTAGCTTTCTTCAATTAGAAACAATATTATAATCTAGTTTGTATTGAAATTAGAAAGATTTTCCATGGAAATCATTGCATTTTTGAACTTGAACCTGGCTATGCATTCTCATGTTTTCCAAATGTCAAATCTACGTTTGGATACTTTATAACTTTTTATAATTCAATCAAAAGCAAATATGAATTTAAATCACACATTCATAAATAATCTTTTTATTTATAAATCATTTACAAATTTTTCAAACAGAAGCTTAATCACTCTTCTTGGTATGTTCGAATCCCTCTTCTCGGTATGTAGGACGTCTCATTTTTTAATAATTTGGTTTTTTTTTTTTTCGCTCAAATGGTTATGCATATTTGGTACGGAAATAGAAAAAAAATATTGAACAAGAACCAAAAAAAAAAAAAAAAAAATTATAATTTTTTATGCATATAATCTTCCACTCTTATCTGTATACAAAACATATTTTTTTAAGTAGTTTGACATTATAATTCAATACATGCGCGAATACTTATATTTGTGTGTGATTACGTTTAGATTCCGCTGTCACGCCTGAATGGCAGATTCCAAATGTGTTTTTTTTATACACATACTTAATTTTGAAAAATAATTTGATAAATTTTGAGCATGCAAACCTGTCAACTTCTGAAAGATTGAAATATATAAATTCTCAATTTATTTAGGTACACTTCTAGAGGAAAAAAAAATAAAAATCTATCATACGATTTACTCTTTTACTTATTATTTATTGAACAAGGTGTTAACTTTTATCTTCTCGTATATTTATCTCCAACGTAGCTTTTTTGTATTGTATACATATCTCCAACGTGCTTTTTTGTATTATTTACCAAATGTGTCGTAATTTTTATCTCGTATATATGTCTCCGACATAGCCTTGTCTGTTCACTTGAGACCACCTATAAAACAAAATGAGCTCTAATAATTGATGTCATGTATTGAAGAATCTAAGTTTATTATTATGTCTCTAGCTAGTTTCTTAAGATAATATGTAAATGAATGTGCCGACGGCTCTGTCTACCAAATTTTATTTTTTATTGATTTCAGTATCAAAATAATTTCTTGTAATAAAGTTCTGATTTGATTTTTTTTTCCTTTTATTTAATGAAAATTTTAGATCAGTTTGATCTATTTTTCAAAAGAAAATAGTCAATTCTTTATGAACAAAAAGTATAATTGAATAAAAAAACCACCTAAATCAAAAGCAATAACAAAATCACTTCTCTCACATTTTCACACATCAATTTAATTAATTCAATTGAAAGTAATTCTGTCAGAAAACCACTGCTCTTATTTTTTATTTGTTTAAGTTTAATTTTTTTATTAGATTTTTCGTGGAACTTCGTGTTCAAAATGCGTATCATCACTTAATAGAAAGGTATACACAGTTTGAGAGAAGAATAATGAAACTAAGAAAATGTCCATCATCTGCTGCACCACTCGCCAGGTGGAACAGGCTAGTGCTACACCTTTTGAGTAAAAATAAATGATGTCAAAACTTGAAAAAATGGGACCATATTCATAAAAATAAAAATGAATAAACATGTAAACATCTCGATCTGTTCGAATCACGTTATCTCTTATTTATAAAAATTACGTACTTGTCACACATTTGATAAAAAAATGTCTGCATACATGTGACAAAAATAAGTTGTAGATAAAATTTAAGTAAACAAGATGTCCATCTCTAACAATTTAAGATTGTTAGAAAAACTGAGTTAACGTAATATCATTTTTCAAAACGTATAAAAATCTTCAAATCGCGTCTCCTTACCACTTGTGCATGTGTTGATCTTTTGACGTAAAAAATGATTCTGATTAGCGTGTAAAAGAATTGAGGAAAAATAAAATAAAATAAATTTAATGTATAAGCTAGTGTTACAGATAATGTGATCAACAGTAACTGTACTATCCATTTAATTACTATCTGATTTAATTATGGAAATGCACAGAGAATTTTTCTGTTCATGGAAAAGAAAAATGATGATTTTCTGTAATGAAAAATGGAAGAAAGAATAAGCATGGCCATGAATTAGGTTTCATTTTATTGTCTGAAGAAAGATCTCAAAAATAACCATCATCTTGTACTCATTATGCCTACAATCATTGTTTTTTGTTGCCTTCACCCGCATGCCCCCCACACCACTCCACTCCACCTCACCCCACCCCACCCCGCCCCGCCCCCATCTCGTATAATCTTCCTACATAAACACACACTTCTGTAACAGTAATGGCACCTCAACTTGTGTCATTGTATTGCTGCAGCTAAACAAAAAGAAATACTAACATTTTTTTCTTTTTCTTTGAAATTTGAAAGTTAGTATTTCGTCTTTCATCAATGGCTGTTTCTGGGTTCGAAGGATTTGAGAAGAGGCTTGAACTAAACTTTTCCGGTGATGATCCGGCAATCGGAATAGGTTTCCGGCAGCTGGACTTTCAGTCTCTTGAGAAAGTATTGCATGCAGTGCAGTGCACAGTAGTTTCAGCACTTGGAAATCAGCATTTTGATTCTTATGTATTATCAGAATCAAGCCTGTTTGTGTACCCGACAAAGATCATTATCAAAACGTGTGGGACGACCCAATTGTTAAAATCCGTCCCTCCATTACTGCATCATGCTGCTACAATGGACCTTCAAATCTGTGCGTGCAGATACACCAGAGGAAATTTCATTTTCCCAGAAGAACAACCTTACCCACATACAAGTTTTGAAGAGGAAATTGTTTATTTGGAGGAGAATTTGCCTGAAAATCTTTGCTGTAGAAAAGCTTCTGTGATGCCTTCAAAGTTATCTTCTCATTCGTGGCATGTATTCTCAGCTTGTGATCAATCTCAAATGGTGATGCAGAAGAGCCCATATGATGATCAGCTCTATACTGCGGAAGTTTGCATGACTGGGTTGGATAGGGTTCTAGCCCAGAAGTTTTTCCGACATCCAAACGATGGTAATTTTGAATCATCTCATCTAAATTTAGACAAGTGCACAATATTCATAGTCGAATAGCATAGAGACTTGAGACACAGTTCTTTGCATGCTTTTCGTACTATACTAAAGCATCTCCTCTGAAAACTTAAGTTACTAAAGAATGAGACAAATTTATTCAATTAAATTTTATCTTCAACAGGTCAGACCGCAGACTCCGCCGGTAAAGAGATGACGGAATCAACTGGCATATGTGACATCAACCCTAATGCACTTATTTGTGACTTTGCATTTGATCCTTGTGGATATTCTATGAATGGCATTGATGGTGATCATTATTCGACAATCCACGTTACGCCTGAGAATGGATTTAGTTATGCAAGTTTCGAGTGTGTGGCCTCTATGTACGGCGATATAGTGGAAATGTTGAACAAGGCCGTGCAAATTTTCAGGCCGGCAACCATGACAGTGGCAACCAAATGCACCAGCCATGAGGTGTGGATGCAAGTGGCAAAGGCAATCAAACCACTAGGAATGAAGTTCCGAAGTTGCACAGTGGATGACTTTCCGGGTACCGGGAGTGTTGTTTTCCAAGTGTTCACGAGTCGAAGGAAATAAGCCGGCAGAGGTGGTGGTGGTGCAATGTTTGGTGGTGGTAGACATGCCAAGAGGTTTAAAAGAGCAAGAAGTGGGAGACTAGGGGGATTGTAGAGTTTAGTTTAAATTCTTTTTTTCCCTTTTTCTTTAGAAATATGGATATGTTGCATGCTAATTTCATTACATTGGATGGTCAAATATTATAACATTTTGGGGGTGGAAGGTTATGGAGATGGTGGGGGTTCATTGAAAGTAATTCTGTCAGAAAACCACTGCTCTTATTTTTTATTTGTTTAAGTTTAATTTTTTTATTAGATTTTTCGTGGAACTTCGTGTTCAAAATGCGTATCATCACTTAATAGAAAGGTATACACAGTTTGAGAGAAGAATAATGAAACTAAGAAAATGTCCATCATCTGCTGCACCACTCGCCAGGTTTTGAGGGTGCAATATCTTAGTGGGGATGAAAGTGAGCAGATGTTGAGCTTAGATGGACTTTACACCATTTTGTTAGTACACATTTTCTCCATATTTTTCGTCTCTATAATCATATCGTACACATTTTTTTGATAGACATTTTTACTCTTCATTATTTACTTTCCCATTTTAGCTTCAAGAGAGGATGGAATGAAGTGTTCTCAATACTAAGGTTGAACAAAATGATCAAACCAGAATCAAACGAAATTGGACAGTTCAATTTGACTTGATTCTACCAAAATAATAATAATGGAAGAAAGAATAAGCATGGCCATGAATTAGGTTTCATTTTATTGTCTGAAGAAAGATCTCAAAAATAACCATCATCTTGTACTCATTATGCCTACAATCATTGTTTTTTGTTGCCTTCACCCGCATGCCCCCCACACCACTCCACTCCACCTCACCCCACCCCACCCCGCCCCGCCCCCATCTCGTATAATCTTCCTACATAAACACACACTTCTGTAACAGTAATGGCACCTCAACTTGTGTCATTGTATTGCTGCAGCTAAACAAAAAGAAATACTAACATTTTTTTCTTTTTCTTTGAAATTTGAAAGTTAGTATTTCGTCTTTCATCAATGGCTGTTTCTGGGTTCGAAGGATTTGAGAAGAGGCTTGAACTAAACTTTTCCGGTGATGATCCGGCAATCGGAATAGGTTTCCGGCAGCTGGACTTTCAGTCTCTTGAGAAAGTATTGCATGCAGTGCAGTGCACAGTAGTTTCAGCACTTGGAAATCAGCATTTTGATTCTTATGTATTATCAGAATCAAGCCTGTTTGTGTACCCGACAAAGATCATTATCAAAACGTGTGGGACGACCCAATTGTTAAAATCCGTCCCTCCATTACTGCATCATGCTGCTACAATGGACCTTCAAATCTGTGCGTGCAGATACACCAGAGGAAATTTCATTTTCCCAGAAGAACAACCTTACCCACATACAAGTTTTGAAGAGGAAATTGTTTATTTGGAGGAGAATTTGCCTGAAAATCTTTGCTGTAGAAAAGCTTCTGTGATGCCTTCAAAGTTATCTTCTCATTCGTGGCATGTATTCTCAGCTTGTGATCAATCTCAAATGGTGATGCAGAAGAGCCCATATGATGATCAGCTCTATACTGCGGAAGTTTGCATGACTGGGTTGGATAGGGTTCTAGCCCAGAAGTTTTTCCGACATCCAAACGATGGTAATTTTGAATCATCTCATCTAAATTTAGACAAGTGCACAATATTCATAGTCGAATAGCATAGAGACTTGAGACACAGTTCTTTGCATGCTTTTCGTACTATACTAAAGCATCTCCTCTGAAAACTTAAGTTACTAAAGAATGAGACAAATTTATTCAATTAAATTTTATCTTCAACAGGTCAGACCGCAGACTCCGCCGGTAAAGAGATGACGGAATCAACTGGCATATGTGACATCAACCCTAATGCACTTATTTGTGACTTTGCATTTGATCCTTGTGGATATTCTATGAATGGCATTGATGGTGATCATTATTCGACAATCCACGTTACGCCTGAGAATGGATTTAGTTATGCAAGTTTCGAGTGTGTGGCCTCTATGTACGGCGATATAGTGGAAATGTTGAACAAGGCCGTGCAAATTTTCAGGCCGGCAACCATGACAGTGGCAACCAAATGCACCAGCCATGAGGTGTGGATGCAAGTGGCAAAGGCAATCAAACCACTAGGAATGAAGTTCCGAAGTTGCACAGTGGATGACTTTCCGGGTACCGGGAGTGTTGTTTTCCAAGTGTTCACGAGTCGAAGGAAATAAGCCGGCAGAGGTGGTGGTGGTGCAATGTTTGGTGGTGGTAGACATGCCAAGAGGTTTAAAAGAGCAAGAAGTGGGAGACTAGGGGGATTGTAGAGTTTAGTTTAAATTCTTTTTTTCCCTTTTTCTTTAGAAATATGGATATGTTGCATGCTAATTTCATTACATTGGATGGTCAAATATTATAACATTTTGGGGGTAGAAGGTTATGGAGATGGTGGGGGTTCATCATGATCTTGCACCCCACTTATATTTTGCACGCCTAAATTTTGAGGGTGCAATATCTTAGTGGGGATGAAAGTGAGCAGATGTTGAGCTTAGATGGACTTTACACCATTTTGTTAGTACACATTTTCTCCATATTTTTCGTCTCTATAATCATATCGTACACATTTTTTTGATAGACATTTTTACTCTTCATTATTTACTTTCCCATTTTAGCTTCAAGAGAGGATGGAATGAAGTGTTCTCAATACTAAGGTTGAACAAAATGATCAAACCAGAATCAAACGAAATTGGACAGTTCAATTTGACTTGATTCTACCAAAATAATAATAATAATAATAATAATAATAATTAACAAGGCATTAATTTCTCATTTTCAGAAGAAATCGAACCGTTACTCAACCCCACACCGCCGTTATTTTTGACTTGCATCTTACCAACTTTTGGAAGATTATGCACAACGGTCAAAAAAGTCATTTTTATATGGAAATAATGCCCCTCAAAGAGGGACTTCATGATTTTGATTCTTAGAACCAAGAGCCAAACTCAATTTTTCATTAATTTTTCTATATATATATATTAATGAATCACACCAAAAAATTCAATTTTTGTTGGTGAATCATTGTTATTAGATAAAGACAATATATTAGTGGGAATAGAAATTGATTTGAATTCGCTCAATGTTTGATATCTATTATCTTATTATTTAAGCATATATTAATAGCTTATGAATATGGTGACATAATTCTAATTTGCATTTATCATTTGAAAATTTAAATAATTAAACTAGAACCAAACCAAACAACAGCCGAACAATTCAATTCCAGTTTTGTCTCGTATCTTATTTATTAAAAAAAAAAATGGAAGAAGAAGAAGAAGAAGAAATCATTACTTCCATTAAAAAAAATAATAATAAAAAATAAAAAATCATTAGTTTACGATTCAGCTCTCTTAAAACCACATGAAACCACGTCCATCCCTACACTACACTTTCCAGTCCCCATACATGCACGCCCAAACAATACAAATCATCATAATTCTTGGAAATTTGATTTCCATTAAATGAAAGGTGCTTCCACCAAGAACATTTTTGTTACAAAAAAACGCTACAATGTTACTAGAAAAGAAATCTACAAGGAAGATTAAAAAAAGAGGCACATATACAACCAAGCAGCATTCTCGACTGGACATGCTATTTTCACTTAACTGTCCCCAGTTGCTCCGACTCAATGAGTTCCATTCAAAACCCACACACCACTCTATTTGTAGATCCTTCCAGTTGCAAGTACTTCCGGCCAAAGAATTGGACCGAGCAAGCGAATGTACCATTTAGCAAATTCCGTTTAGCTTATAATACTAGTGATGTATCAAACAGCATGATGGTAACTGCAAAACCATACCGGTATTGAATGGTAGATGATCGTTGGGCAAAGCCAAAATCCTTATTACCTCATTGCAAAAAGCACTATGGTAATATGAAACTTCGAAGATGCACAACATATCCCATGCCAAAATATACACACCTCATTCTTTGACCTTTCTATACTTGGCCGTGCTGCAAAATTTTAGAAACAGAATCTATCATACTAAAAGTAGATTGATAACTTTTTGTCTATCAGGTTCTGCACAATATTGCACTTCTCCAGGATCTCGCTTAATTTCTCAGCTTCTTTGGTAGGTTTGGTGAGGAACCCTAGCGGGGTTCTGTTGTTTACTTCATTCGTGACATTGTTGTCACTTGTCGTCACTACACCATTCTGGCTTCCATTCTGCTCATCCTCCACCAAGACAATTTCATTGTTAGATGTCTGAATATCACATCTGTCAGAATCCATGGGCGACCAATGTTGAAAAGCCACATATTCAGCAGGAATCAGACCAGAATCGAGAGGGGAGCAGCCAACTTCGACCATTTCATCCAGTGATGGAGAAACATGGAAAGGAGTCAACATGTTATAGTCAAGCTCTGCTTTATCCAGAACTACAGAAGGGGTAGAATAGTCATTCTGCAGCAAGACATACGTCGAAGAAAATTCCCCACTAGTCAAATTCATCAACCGCCAATTGAATACCCGTCGAAAAATTCTAACCCAACTTGGGATTATGTAGTAGGTCGAATGATGGATCTCAAGCCGGGCACACTTTTGAAGAATTGTACTTGCCTCTTTTCTTGCTAATGGCACTCCCAACAACTTACTAGACTCCGTAAAATAGTTAACTAAGCAATTTTCAAGGAGTAATTTCTGGTTTCCAATATCAACACCCATATTTGAACCCTTGTATAACCAAGAAATGTCATGCTCAAATGTTGGAAGTTTAGACTCATTTAACACAGACAAAAGTGCTTCAGTTCTTTGAGCTGAGCTCCATCCTATGCTCGGCAAGTACCAAACAGAAGCTTTGTACTCATCAGTAGACTTCTCCAGCAAACTTATTTCAGGACAAGGCCAACCAGTAGGATTTGCTCTGGCTGCAGCAGCCACTTCCCCCATGGATTGATCCAAGGCATCATTGAAAGCCGTAATACATTGGTTTGGACCAACACTGTGAGCACTAAACTCGTCAAAAACTTTCAATGCAGAACTCAAGTGGGTTAGAACCAATTCACGTGTCTTTGTGCAGTGGATAACAGGTTGTGGCGGTGATTCACTTGCCAGCCATTGCAGACCCTCTCTTAACTTTTCGTCGCTGAAAAACCCATCAAACTGTTCCATTGGCTGGTCTCTGAGAAACGAAATGTAAAATGTACCCATCCGTGATTTGTCAACATTATTAAGCCCTAATTTTTCAGATATAACAGAAGGATCAGAATCCTTGTCTGTACCACTTAAGATTAGAAAAGGCAATTGAGAACCAGAAGGCAATGACATGAGAAGGTCATGAAGCCGATCCTTTTGGAGATCCATTGGGATGCATTCTGACAGAAGGAAGATAACTGCAGTGGCACCTGTTACAGTGTCATTCAAATTTTCATAATGGACACTCTTAACAACTGACAAACAACATGTCAGATTGCTGCCAGATTGGCTAAGAACCCATTTTTTCCAAACAGCCAGGCCAGGAGACGAAATAAGCAAATCATCATTCTCATTCCTCATGGGCAAGAGTTTAGAATGCAACCATGAACCTGCACCAGTCTGCAGAGCTTCATTCCTTTGCGAAGTGATGTCCAGATGGAGGTTGTCATCCAGAGAACATAAAACAATCTTCCAACAAATGCATTTGGCATCTGAATTTCTTTCAACAAGTGTAGCTGATACAACATCTGAAGGATTCAGCATTGACCATGATTTTTCTAAAATTTCATGTCTTCTACTCATGACACGATGAATGTCGAACTCACCAACAATGCCTGATTGCTTCAGAAGAGAAGAAACGGATTATGAAGCATTAGTAGAATAAGTGAAGAACAAGGACATATTAAAGAACCTGAATTTGAATTGCTCAATAATCAACTACAAAAGTAATGCAAGTGGAAAGTTATTTGAACTTGCAAACTGTTAGATACTTATTTTACATCTTTCTATCTGCTCATGTACACGGTAAAGACAGAAAATTTTCATTACAATTGTTTTTGTTCACAACAAGTTGATCAAATTACCTGGCACTAAAAACAATGTGGAAACACTTCCAATCTCAATGTGACATCCTCTGCCCAATTTAAGTCACTTATGCAGAGTATATAACAGAATGGTGGTTCACATTGGCCCTAAAGGTGTGACAATTAACATGATTTTCTAATAGATCTAATCATAGCACTTCAAGATGGGCAATGTGGAAGCCTAATAATGACCTTCACAAAGTGGACATATATTTCAGATCATCGCAAATACATAATGATTTTTTTTCCTGGATGCCAGTATATTTAGCTAATGAAAATGTAACAAAATTAATTACTACCAACATCACGATGGGCTTCATAAAAACTCAAAAATCTAGGGTTCATTGAGTTCTACACCCAGATGAAACATTTAATCAGCATTAGACATCCTGACATTTCGGCAAGTTTAACATCTGGTAGATAGCAATATATAACAACTTACCGCACATGTATCATTGTATGCCTGCGCTTTACATACTAGATGATAAAGATATCAGGCAAGAAATATGCAAGCTCTTCATTCACTACACGCTAATCTAATATTTTATTGTATAAAAACAGACTCAAGCCTACAACTAAATTTTTACTAAAACAGCTTGCATCTTCACCATTATCACTGGTAAACTATGCAAATATCAAGTGAGGAAAATAGCTCCTAAATAATACTTACAACTTCATAGTGCCAAATTGGTGGACCCATCGAGAGTGAACTCAGTGCAGCACGTGCAGCTAACTGTTTTTGCTCTCGCAATTCTCTTTTCTTTGATGCACAACGCTTCCATCTCCTGACCAATTAAATAGTATGATAATAATGTGGAATAAAAAAGAAGCAATAATGACAGGCTAAAAAAAATAGCAGTCACAACCTTAATGTAAGTTTAAGTTTTGCCTGAGCAATTTCTTCATCGTAATAACTTGTTCCCACTTCATCAGCTTTATCTTCTTCCACAATACATGTCTGTTTTTCATCTTCAAAGTCTTCACTGAGCACAGGCTGGGGCACTGGATTTTTCACATCAGAAACAATTGGAAGAATGGGCATTCTTACTTCTGCTCTTTCTGGCGTGATTTGTGATGGTGTGAATTCTGAGTCATACTTGCTCACTTTGTTAAAAGAGTTTCTGAAAAGCTGGTTATACATCAGAGTCCCTCCACTTTCAACCCTGACTTCATCAGATTTAGGAGAACTTTTGGACAAATCCCATATAAAAGGATTAGCTGGAGCCACCCGAACATCATCTCCACTCTTTTGTTTGATTGGGATCCTTAAATCAACTGATGTTTCAAACATTGGCTTCTGTGTAGCATCTTTTGGGGATGAGATGGTTCCATATTCATGCATCTCCTCATCTATGGCCTGGGTACTTTCAGGCATGATGGCTTGAACAGGAGTACGTTCTGGCTCATGACACATTTTCACTTTCTCAGAGGTAAATGACTCAGCTAGACAAGGAGATGAGACATCAGTTACTATCATCTTTGACTTTTTCTGATGAACAAGTTTTGAACGCTTGACAGGATAGTCATTCTCAACATTAGGAAATGAAATTTCTTTCACCATATAAGGTTCTTCA